GGGTACCAAAGTAGGTGCTTTCTAGCAATTTTTTTTAATGGCAAACCCTACTGTAAGCTGTGCAAATAATATTAGAGAGGTGGTAAAGAAGGCATTAAAGACATTGAGTTTTTGTTTTTAATAAATAAATTCAGTAGTATGGAACTTGATATTTATGAATTATTTGTTTATAAATTAAGATCATGTCCCGAAATGAAACAATTGGTCATCACAAACTTTCGTGGCAGTAATAAAGGCTTTAATCAAAGTTCGGACAATAAATATTACCTATTGGTTGATCGGTAGTGAAACAACAAACAAAACTGTTAGAATTATCTGCTATTTAACATAAAATTAAATTACGAACACTTTGGACTTCCACAAGAAGAGCGATATAAAATATATCGCTACTGCTTTACAAAAACATGACCAATCTGAATAAACGAAAATTACTTGGAAAACGAAGTGAAACTATAGAAAATTCTCTTAAATTCGGCGTTTATTCGATATGATAATTTTCTTGGCTACACAAAAACATACATTTCGGGGACAAGATGAATCGCAAATTTCTCTTAAAGTAAATTCGATGATAAATTTAAAAAGTTTTTTGGAGGAGTCTTTGGTAATTAGTGGTCTTCAGAACGATTATTTTGGAATTATTTTTATTTTATTTGTTATTGTTAACTTTGTTAGTATTTTGAGAATTTATTTTTTGTTTCATTTGACATTTTTAATTTTGCTTTTACAATAATTTTCGAAATTGCTGCTTTTTCTAAGTGTAGCTTATTTCAAAGGTTCAAAATTTAATGTTTTCTGGTCATGTTATTTCAAAATCTTTACATCTTGGGATCATTATTTGAGTTTATAGTTCTATAAACTCCTAACAAATCTATTTATGTGCTGAACCTTTTTTTTGCTCCTCTTTCTTCTTCTAGCAAGAGTCTTCGACGTTCTCGTTGGTTCTTGCTGACCGACATTGTAAGTAGCATTTATAAAATAATATATATGCAATATACATAAAATATTTGTTATATTATATTGATTGACATGCAGCACCAAAACAAAAACACGTTCTCACAAAAATGATTAATTATATATATATGTATATATATTTTTTCATACATGTTATAACCCATGGTAGAAGGAGACATGATATAGGCATCCGATGTACCAATTTAAAAATGGTCTGCGCATCCATTTGTGACGTTAGGTGGCATCAACGACCTTGTGATTCTTGTGAGCTTCGCTAGGGAAGTCTAGGGAATTTCAGCTTGAGTTGTCATTGCTCTGTCCAATACGTCAATTAGTTGTCGGATAACGAATTGTATTTTAAATTTCGCGCTAATTTCACCCCACTTGACGTCACACCCGATGCGTATGCCTATACCATGTCTCCTTCTACCATGTTATAACCTACCTATAATGCTTTGCCCACCCATCAAAAATCACCACGAGCCGCCACTGATTTTAACTTCTGAATGCAAATGAATATGTTAGTGTACGATAGTAAAGTGAAATATATCGCAAACACGGATATATTCATGAAGATTATTTCAGTTTCCATCAAACTTTACTGTGTTTAGTTTAAAGAGAGTCTGTAATGTTAGATCGGGACTAATATTCGAGGTGGAGTCGTCATCTACAGTATGATGATTTGTTTCGTTTGTATCGTTAATAGAGTCAAGATTGGTTATTTTTTATCAAAATTACTACAGCCAAATAAAGAATATCTACTCACCGACTTGTTATCAACTTGGAAGGACGACGCGGTCTCTTCTACGTGGTTAATTTCTTGTGAATTATCCGATTTCTGACACCAAATTGTTTTGGGAGTAGAAAATTCACCAGCCGAGTGAGGTTCTTGTTTAATTCTTTATTGTTGGGTTCTTTTACAAAAGTGCAGACTGATTATATACCAGTCACAACTATTAAAAAGTAATTACAACAAACTTTCTCTTTCATAATGACACACGCTAATTTACAATTTATTACACCTATATTAGCTTTAACATTAGGTATGTTAATGCTACTTGAAAGCAGCAAAATATATAAAGATTAACAGAAACTGTTACTCAGTATGCTGCTTTTACAATATGTTTGTAATGTTCTATTATTAAAATGATCTGTAAAAACATACAAACTGCGAAGCGATGTTATTCTTAACAATAGAGAATATTTGACGTTATAAACGTTATGAATATTTTGCCGATATTTTTCTTCATACACGAATAAGAGAATCAAAGGTTTGTTTTTTAGTACTAAAAACTCTGCTTAATGCATTATAATCAACGGTCGGAATAATATTTCAGACGCTCGAGTCAGTGCTGCCGCGTCAGTATTTCGATTACAAATATATTTTTGTTTTGGACTATATTAACGTAATTGAACATTTCAAGATCACAAATATGTGGTCCTCTGGTTGAAAAATTAATAAGGGCACCGAGTATTATTATTTGAAGTAATATAGTAATATAGCAGTAGTTTTTTTACTAGCTGTAAATACTCCTAGAGACGCACTGGCTACGACCTTGTGGACCAGATCGAAGCGTCCCCGCTACTCGCCGTAAAACACACCTTCCTTCAACTGGGGAATTGCACCCGTAAGATAAATTTCCGTGTACTGATTATAATATTAGAAATAGGATGAGAATTTGTCAACCGTATTATTATAAGTATATGCATCCAAAAATTTATGATGAAAAATAAAGTTTTTCAGTTTTATAAGCGCTAACAACTAAATGTTCGGCCCCCTATACATTTTAAAATGTTGTTGAAATATTAAACATAATTTCAGTTTTAGTTTTTCATGAAGATTTTAATAATTAAATGAAACGTTAATATATATTTTTATTAAATATAAATATTTTTGGGAAAAAAAAACAATTTAAGAAACGAGCAGAACTAAAAAAATATTGAATTGATTGACAACTAAATATTGGCCATGTATGAAAGAAAACGAAACAATTACAATTTAATAGCTGACAGCACCTTCTTTGGCTTTAATAACAGCTCTAATATGCGTTGGCATTGTGGCTACTAAAGATTCACAGCAATCGGATGTGAATGAATGCCAAATTTCTTGGAATTTTTTCATGCACACTGCCCATGGTGCGTTGAGGATTGTTTCGTAGTTTTCTTTTCATTTCATGTCACAATCTTTCAATCACATTCAATTGTGGACTGTAGGAGGGCTATCATAAAACATTAATATTATTATTCTCGAACCACATTTTAGTGGTTTTGGTAGTATGGCATGACGAACCATCCTGCTGGAAAATGAAATCACCATCAGAATGTAAATTTTCAGTAGGTACTAGGCTATAACGAGTTTTTTTTAATTTCTCAAAAAAAGATCATGCCTTATTTTTCGAATAGATTTGCCACTATGGAAATCGCGAATAATTGTTTCTCGGAGTTTTCTATCCTCAGGGACGCCACGAGACATTTAAAACCAAAAAAAAAAGCCACACAACAATCACAAAAACTGGTTTAACGTTTATTGGTTCTTTTGGTGTCCATTCAAAATGTGCAATGGTTTTTCATGGCACTCTTAACGTCCTTTATTTAGTTGTCTATCCTTTCTTTTTTTTATAAATTTTTTATGATGCGTATTTGGTACAAAATAGCTATTGAAAAACGTATAATAGTTCACTGAAATCAAAATCAAAATGATTTAACATCGATCAAATAATCATTTTTCATAACTTGGAATTAGCTGGGAAAAAAGGACATAATATTAAGGTGGCGAGTATTTAGTATTTCGTTCAAAATACTACTATAAAAGTTGTATAATAAAATTTTATACAATGTGCCCAACAGGTACTGTTTCAGTTGATATAAATGAATTTTGCTTGAAAATGATAGATCTGTCAGTCCGCTTCACTTCCTGTTGTCAAAACTGACGTGGTTGACAGTGACACTGAATTTACGTCAAAATTTGTTGTTGATGATAATAGTACAAACAAACTTTCTTTGGCGCTTTTAACGCCAAACATTTGAAGCAGGTCTGACAATAGCAGCGCAAGAAAATTCTTTCAGAATTGGTATTCTATTGCCAACTCAAAGAGTACGGTCGTGGACAGTGAATTTCGTCCACCCAATTTCTTTGACAGAAAAAACTCTAAATTAGCCCTTAGATCTTTCTAACCTTTTTTTGTCATTTTGACATAAAGGGGCAAACATTTTTTTATACGATAACTAACACTAGTCCGCGGTAAGCCCAAAAGTGTAGCGACACCCCCTTCTTGGAAAAGGGATATTAGTTTACCTTCATTAAAATAACTAATCGATAGCAGGTTCGAAGCTAAATTAAATTTGACAATACTTACGTCAGTCATCATGACAATAAAGCACCGACTACAGTGAATTTTTGTGAATTCGCGTGAATTGTGTGGACGAAATTCACTGTCCGCGACTGTACTTGTTGAGATCACGCTGTAGTTCAATTTCACGATTGCTTACAAATTTTCTGTAAGTTTCCTTTGTTTTTAAATGTTTTTTATGTAAATAAAACGTGCAATGCGTGGTATCTAAATCATGGACATTAAAACATAAAATGTATTTCATGTCCAAGTGCCGCAGAAATTAAAGATAAAATAATACGTGACATAAACGTAAGTATAAAGCTTTTAGTAGTAAGTTCATTTTAATTTCGTTACGTTTTTGATGAGTGGACCACATTAACAAAAATTTATTTTTCACGTACTTACCCTTTGTACCGTAATAAGTGAGCCATTACCGATTTTTATTTTTTGCAAAGTAAGTGCGTTATTTTAGAATTTTGTATTTTAAAAAATTTCAAAAATAAGTGGGTCAAAACTCTTAATCCGACATTTCTTATGTAGTACTTCTTTAACTTATAAATTGGATCTAAAACTAAATACTAATGTTATTTATTTGTAATATATGCCCACTAAATTTAAAAACGTGGTGGATTGTTTAATTGCGAGGTTGGTGGTGGTGTTGCTCGCCAAATTATTAGTAATTTGTATGTCACTTTGTTGCTGTTAAAATCCTACGTCAAAATAATTGCGTGTTTTCGAAATGGCTATCTAAAGCAATTTGGAGTTAAATTCTAGTCAGTTTAACGCATTTGCAGCATAAAATTCGATGTGAGTGTCGATTGTCGTTCGTTTTTAGACATGAATTGTCGAAATAATATTTTAGTGTTAATATTGTGAGAAACGTGGATGCGGACAGATTTTGCGTTTCCATCAAACTATAGTTGCTTTGATGGGTTTCTACCAGGGTTTCAATTTGTGTTGGAAAAATGGCAGCTTGAGAAGATTCATTAGTACTCACAGCTGAGGCCATCAAACCAGGAAGCTTCTGTTGTTTTATGTGACAATGTAAGTGTTCTTTGGTGTGGACTAAAAACCTAGAGTCTGCAGTAAATGGATATCTAATGCTCTACACTTTGAATACTACTTTATTATTGCATAACTATTATTGAATTAATTGTAAAAACATATTGGAGGAAACATAAGAATTTGCAAATAAGTACATGAGCACCTATATTGAAGTACTTATTATAAACAATCTAGCATATTTCTTCGGAACTGATGTCAACAATTTATAGAAAATACATGAATGAAATGAAAATGGATAAAATGTTCGTTTTTACCATGGCCGACTAGTATAAAGATTATGGCCTGTCCAAAGGAATGCCAAAGGTACAATACGTGCTGCCATCTATTAATAATTCAAAAACGACAAAAGAATTATTAACACTTTTTGAAAGGCACAAAGGCATTCATACCAAAACAAACCACCATTACACGTTTTGAAGTCCCATAATGTCAAGTCAAATTAAAATTTTGCTAAATTATTAAGTGTAATTATTAATAGATGGCAACACGTATCGTACCTCTTGGACAGGCCATAATCTTTATACTAGTCGGCCATGGTTTTTACCAGGTGACTTTGAATTTTCCCATTTAGTTCGAATTTTAAATGTTCATTATTCATTGCTTTACAATGTTTTCGTCCAGCTTTTGATTCTCACGTGTTTTTCGGATGGGTAGTGAAACTTTTTTAAAATACACTGGCCAGTTTTTATGCAAATCTATGAAAAAACCTGTTCTGTTTTTAGGAAACTAAAAATTAGACTTCGCTACTGTAAAAATGGTTCCAACTTGAACTGCCAACTCTCTTTGTGTTATTTTGGGTCCACAAGGTTTCTTGAGTACTTTGTAGTTCTTAACATTTAATTATTTCAACCTTTTCCCGCGACTTCAATATTACCTGCAACTTTTTTGATAAAGTTGTTGTCGTTTCGATTCCCCTGATAAACACGTAATTATGCCTCTACATAAATCCCTGTAGAGCAATTTCACCAACCTTTTTTAATTTTAAACAAAAATTTAGTGAGCATCTATTAAAAATAGATAATACTAAGTTATAAAATGTTAATGTAAACGAACAGTAGGAAAGCGATTGTCTGGCTAAAATATGCTGTTCGCTTTTCCTTTGCCCAATACAGTTTTCTAATCGTTTTAACATTTTAACTTAAATATTCGATTTTTAATTGCTGAAGGACAAGGTACATACATGTGATTGCGAATTTGGTTTATATTAAGAATAAAATTCAAAACAATACGTGACTCACTGATTATGTAACAGAGGTAGTATTAATTTGTTAAATTGTAACAATTCATTCAGTGTGATTTAAAAAAGTCTATTGAATCAATAATTCAGTTAACGAAATTGGTCTCTTAAGGCTGCAAAATATTGGTATACAATTTAGATTTTTTTTCCCTAAAAGCATGTTATTTTATAAAATTTAAGTAGGATGTAGAGACAATGTTTGGTTAGCGTTTTACCATTTACACAATAATTACCTAAAATACACCTAAAATTTACCAACTACGAGTAACATTCAGTTCAATAGTTTTTGAGATTATTGATGTACGGATATAGAGACGGAAACGGGAGACATTTTTTCATTTGTCAGTCGTTATGAAACGTCTACAAAACATGAAATTACCCAGTTTCTAGCTTACGATCAGAAGGTACCAATAAAGTTAGTACAACAACAATATACGGGAGACCTAAGAAACTATTATCAGAGCTAGCGACCGATTTACTTTATATATTTCAGTACTCATGAAAATCAGTGGATAAAATCTTGTATACATACAGAATAAGGAATGCCCATTCTGGCAACTGATACCGACCGGAATAAGAAACCCCAAATCTATAAAGACATTCAGCTTCTCTGGCACAACATTTGTTGATGGAATTTTGTCCTGGCATTTAGACGTATTCATCCGACCAATTTAATTTCAACTACATATATTTAAATTTCAACACTGTTAAAATAACACAAATAAAAAAACAATATTGTTTATTATTCAGTTAATAATTTGGAGGGGTGGAAATGTTTTGGCAGTATTTTTTCTTCACAAAAAATACTCACCTTCAAATGCGAGACCATAAAAATTGTAAGCTTTTTTACCCCATTTATTTATTTGTAAAAGTGAAGGCATTCGTTCAGAAAAAAAAGTTACCTTACTTAACATATGTTAATAAATTTTACATATAATGTAAACCAATGAATAACCTTAACCATTATACCAAAATTTTATAAAATTTCATTTGAAATAAGTATGTGAGATAATGTGTAAAATTTGAAGACCCCAATCTTTAAAAATAAATAATTCACGTACTTAAAGTTAAAAATATGATATAATTATGAAATTCTTGATAAAAGAGCAAGTTGCTTTGTACATTTTAAATTACTTAGATTAGTTTACTATGTTTCAAGATAGCATTATTAATTTTGGGAGGACATGAGCAAAAAATTGTGGTTAGTTTTTTTCTGTCTTCACAGTAATCTTAAAATACAATTACAATTTCAAAGTAATAAATAGGTTTAAAAAAGTGCTCCATCTTGATGAATTATAGCATAATAATAATTAAAAGTGGCAATCATGCAAGTGCGTCTGCGGCAGCAATTTCTTTATAGGGAGAACGATGCGCGGCTTGCGGCCCCAGTTCAGAGAAACTTATCTGACGTACTTCCGGTCAGAAAAAGTTTAAATTCGCTGACCGTTCATTCAGATCACATTTCTCCAGACTCATTAATTCAAAACATTTTGTCGTCCCATAATAATATTTACGTACCGCCTTCATCGTTTTATTACTGTCTGTTATTAAAAATTTATCTCTGATATTATTTATCGTGTCAGCAAGATGCACCTTGTTATCATCTGGGGCCGACGCTGCACAAAATTTACTTCTTTGTCATCATTGATGTTTTCGTATTTTTATGACGCATTAGACGTCGAAGACTAAACTCCATATGTTAAATTTAGTTAACTAAACTTGTGCACTAAAAAATAACAGTTTTTTTGTACAGACCTAACCTATTAAAAAACCATTTAAAGGACCGTATCATATTTAAAGGTTGCTGCACATTGTTACATTCGATAACTGTCAGTCAGTGGCGTCAGATTGTCATAATTTTCAAGGGTCGTAACATAAAGCTGATGTGGATGTGTGAATTCGATACCATTTCTTAGAAAACAAAATAGTCACCTTGGTGGCCACGGCCACCCTCTTCTCCATAACATCATAAAACCTAACAGATATATATTTAAAAACAAACTGAGGCTCCTAAGAACTTTGGAGTATTTTAGACCTACCACTGACTGGGAAATTACTGCGATTTAGGCAAACCGGGTAAGAGGCTAAGATAAAGTAATGATCTATATTGATTAGAAAAATAAAACAATTTTCGAGATCCTATACAATAATCATAGCATACAAATTTGTCCGCTAATCACAACATATCACCCAATGACCCTAGCATGACTAGCGATCATTTGTCCGCGCATCACCCCCTTTACTCAAATATGCTCTGATCTACCTGTGCTAATCTTCTTTAACTGATAAAATACACTGAAGTTTCACAGCAATCAGTTGAGTAATTCCGGAAGATCATCATACTAAAAAAATCATCAACCGACAAACGTCATATTCGTTACAATTCTTCTGTTATAATGCTTTCCGACCTGATGCTGGAGAAATAAAAAGAAGTTGCGAAGTCTAAGAAGTATAATTCCGCTACTGAATATTACAAATTTTGTTTAATGTTTCAGATATTACGCATGTTGTCGTGTGCTCCAAGTAATTTAAAGGCATTTAACGGTAGCACTTGATAATTACGTAATTATTTGTTGCTTCAGTGATTTTTATAGGGGTATTAACATGACTTTTGTTATTTGCGCCATAAAAATGTCGTTATCGACTTAGACAAGTAATTGCTGTATCTGGAATCCACATTAAAGGACACTTGGCTTAAGAAAGTTCATAAAAACCCTTAAAATCGTTAAATCGACTGCAACTATAAAACTGTGAAGTCATATGGGTAAAATTGATGACAGATAATCTTAATAAAATATACACAATGGAAGGAAGAAGTATCAGCAATAACAACTTTTTCCTTAAGTTAGTAAAGCTGAGTAAAGCATTTTAACTTTGATAATTTTGTTTACTGTTCTTTATAAACACACGTGCGACGATCACCTGCACCAAAAGTCAACAGAAATAAAAGGATACACATTCTTTGTAATGATTTAGTGTCTTAGAAGTAATAAAAGTTGCAAAGCTAAACCATAAATTCTGTCTCACAAATTGGGTTGCTCTATTAATGTCGCATTTAACATTTGCAAAATAATAATGGTCCTCTTGGTTTTTTTTTTTCATCTGAAATACAAACTAATAGCCTAAACACGTCAAATTTCTAGATGCAGAACTTTTTGCTGGAAATAAAATAAATATACTTTGCTATATATTTTGCTATGTTCAATAATGTAACAATAACGTAATTACTGTGTTTTTGCAATTGACTCGGTGCGTCTCCCCCCTCGACCCCCAATAGGCAAAAGAGGGTAACAGATTATATAGATGATATATATGTATCTACAATTTTCTTATAAAAACTTCGTGAAAAATGAAACGTTTTTTTTTAAAGGTCTTTGAGACGATATTGCATTTTTTGTGGCAAAAAAAAATCAGCCAATATGGTGTAATCAGTGTAATTTTAATACACTGTTCTACAAAATAAGTGCCCCCTCTCCTTAATATACATGCATGCATACACAAAGCTGAAGGGGATTTAATCTATTTCATTATTTTATTTTTAACAAATTGTGAAAGTAATTGTTTTAAAAATTTTAAAAATCGAGTATTTAGGAAAGATGACGTCTCGACTTTTTAGTGGGATAATGTAGTAATTTTGACATAGGCAATATAATAATAAACATGACGTTAATGCGTTGTTAGTCTTTTGTGTAAATCAGATGAATCAAAACTGTATTTTCTATTTTACAAAAAAATGACATAGGAATAACATTTTGTGCTTAATTCAAAACGAATAAAACTTCAATATTCCTGGTCTGTACTCTTAAGATTAATTTTTTTCATATTTCTGAGTTCTTCGTTACTTTTAGTTTTTTTCGATTTTAAAGACACAGCCTGATAATATTAAAATTTTAATTGCAGATTTATTCGTTTTGGATTAAGCAAAAAATGTTATTCCTATGTTTGTAATTTTTTTGTAAAATAGAAAATACAGTTTTTTTCCTCTTATGAACTCAATCCGGGGACATACTGTATATGTGTGAAATTAAAAATAGGATTGAATTATTTAGCATCAAGTCATAAAATCACACGGTGTAGGACAACATAGAGACAAATGAAAAACTGCATTTTCGCATTCTGCAACTTCTAAGCAGTGTCTCTCTACAGCTCTTTTAGGATTATTTGGCATTTTAAAAATGTAAAACATTTATCATAAAAATGCTACTGATTTAGAATGTAGAAAGGGTTGAAGGTTTTGTCGACACTTATTTTCATTAAATTAACAATTTCACAAGTTTTTTTGTGTTGTACTTAAAACATTTTAAAAATTTTAAGATTAATTTCGTCAGTACTCTTAAAAGACCAAATTTATTTTGTGTTTGAAATTGTTTTCTGCTTTAAAACCATCACTTTCATTTACGTATACTCGTAATTATAAAGGATCTTTACTTCCCCAGCATATCATCCTCGATTTCTTCATATTAATAGATACGTTTATCCTTAACAGAATTAATGAATAAATTTTCATTTATAATAGCCTGAACATGCATTGGTTCAGAGGCTAGGAAAGTTCTGTCTAAATAGATTTATATATTTTTTTAAATAATAATTGGACCGATTTATTGTAACGATTATTATCGCAAAAACCGTTTAATTTTTTTTTTTTAATTCTGAGTAGCGTTATGGAAGTAAATTTATCGTGGGCAAAAACATGATGATGTTATCTGAAAAAATATTTAATTAATTATTAGACAACATGGTCTTACGTGCAGCATGTGATGTCACGTGGTTGACGGAAGATTTTTTTTAAACTGAGAGTCAAGCTACAACTATTTTAACATTCATTGCAAAATTTCATACGTCGTCAAATTATAAAATCATCTACCTTACTATCTCAATTTTTTTGATATCGACAAACAAAAAATATTGTTGTAAGTTTTATTTTTTCAAATAAATTTAGAAATGGTAATGTCACCTCCTTCATAAGCAAGTATGCATTTACAACAGAGTGTGTGGTTAGGTATGCAGACAAACTGTAATAATGTTAACAAAATGTTATAAAAAAGCATTTTTATGCATTGTCACATTGAATATGACTCGTCCGTAAAAAAAAAGTTACATGAAGTAATTCAGTACATTTTATAACGTGTATCATGGGATGGCCTCAAAAGAAAATTAATTATGCAGTTTTTAATTTCGTAAAGCAAACTACTTACTTCATTGTTTTCGTTTTTGGTTTAATAAATTTTCGTGTCGCCAGAATAGAGTTGAATTTCCAGTGTATTTTATTTAAAAGCTTTGTATTATTCTTAACAGCACTGAAGGGGGTTTATATAAATGTTTATATGTGATCTTTTTTGTTATTATTCACTATCGGTTTCAAATCGTGAAGGACGATTGATTTTAACATGATGTCAGTCAGTCATTCTGAAAACTTGAGCTGGGTATAATTTTGAAAGTCATTTTAACTCTCACATCTCTGAATCAGTCAAAACACCGCCATGTAAACAATCCAGGAACTCGACTGTATTCGAGTGAACCCACACTCTTGACCCTATAGCTTTCATGTCACTTCATCAAGTCATTTTTTACATTTATGAGTGTTGAATACTTAATCAAAGATTGGGGTGGCCAAATTCCTAGAATTCTTTTCTAAATCCATAAAATAAATAACACAACAAAATGATGTCGCGGCATCTTTGTTTTAATTTTAAGGTTTCTTATGTTTAATGTATTCTAATTAAGTAGTTAGAAATTTATCAGGATACCTATACGACACATTAAAGTTGACTCTGGAAGTGAATAGCTATAAATTAGCCTTTATTTCACATAGCGGAAAACATGGTAGCAAAAACAGTTTACAAATCAACTCGCAGCAATTAGCTTTTAGTGAGTTATCATCAAAGAAGTGCAATTTGCACGGAGCATTGCTTATAAACAAGTGAGCACTGTCCGAATGGGCAGGACGCTGATGCGGACGCTTGCCAGTGCCTTCACCGTCTCTTATTTTTATTATTTTCATTTTTTATTATTTCTAATTTAAACTTAAACTTTGCTTAATTGGTTCCTGCCTTGTAGAACATTCTGACTTTATTTATTATTATCCAGTCATAAATACACGCGTAGGAACATATTTTACAGCCTATTTCCTAAATCTTTTAACCGAAATATCTTTAGGACCGCGTAAGTTCTAAGGTGATGGAAATTCGTGACAGATGCAAAATATTAACACAACCTTAATTAATTATAAGAAGCCGTTACCTCCTAATACTGGTGAATTCAGCTGAGTTTGCAAAATTTAAATAATACATAGTGGTTTTCTCATCTGGTGTTATTTTATTCCATCATAGAAACATTATTCATGTTATGTACACGTTTAAAACCATTATTTTAAAGTGTGACCGTACTCTAGTAAAGTCTTTACGTTAGAAAGGTGTATTAAGTTTGTATCTAATATTATGTGATTTATATGTATATTTGAATATCTAATAAAGTTCATTTAGCGAGTGGTTAATTTCAGGTTTTCTCCACGTTTCTGTAACTACTAGAATGTAAAAGATCTCCCGTTTCCGTCTGTCTGTTGCCTGTGTGTCATTTTTGTTAACAATTCTATAGAATTAATTATTATCTATATTATTTATTACACAGATAATCTTCGAAACTACAGGACTGCCTGTCGTGAAATTTTAGGAACATTGTATAGACTAAAAATAAAAAAACAACAAAATTTATCTGATCATCCCTACCAAAAATTCTGATGACGTCATCTCAAAATTTTGTTGAATAAATTCTACCTAAAATGTACAAAATATGATGAGTTTTTAGTTGTGATTTATTATTGATTTCATATGTTTTAGACTCACTTAGGGTGGTTCAAATGAATTAATGAATGAGTCAATTTATTTTATTGATTAATTCTGGAACTCCCATTTTCGCAGAAAATTTTTGACTACAATACTGTTATTATTAGTATTACACTGTACCAATTCAAGTTGATATACGTGTAGCACGCTTCTTTATATTTATTTTAACATTGCATGCATGCTTATTTCAACTTATAGGAGTTCGCAACATCAAATTTTATAAGTTTTCGAAAATACTGGATATGTTTCATACTACGTCTGGTGCGAAGGAAATTCTTGTCGAAACAATCTTCGACCATTTTTTTCTACTGCTTTTGCTCCACGGAAAGGAAGACAAAATTATTTTATTAACAAAATGTCGTTAGTATTGATTAATTCCATATTTATTATGTATTTGTTTATTTGTATAACATCATCTGAAGCTACGACATATTTTTAGTCTAGATAATACTGTTAAAAATTGCAAAAACACTAGTAGCACTAAATACGTTAAAATTCAAAGGATCTTTAGCTTGTATGATAAATGTAACTTCAAGTTTGATTTATTCTACACATGTACACATTATTACAAATAATAATAGCACCCATATTTGTCAATCGTGAAATATGGATTCATAGTTTTCTATTTTAAATTTTTACGTGGTTTTTTTCTTTATTTGGGAGTAGAGAAAGTTTAGCCATTATTATATTCATAATTATGGACATAATTCACCCAGCTGATTTGCTTTACTCACCTACGGCTCGTTTCGCATACGTTATCTTCGTGAATAATGGCTATCATAATTGCTCATATAATAACATACCCCTATTATTAACAACTTGATTGACTTTGTGTAGTTTCGAAAACAAATTTAGTTAGTTACAAACGAATATAGAACACTTCATGAAAAGTAGGTATTACAAAAAACATTTCTTCACAGTTTTATTTATAGCATCTCTTGTTTGTACCTTATGTGTCCCCTTATTTATACAGTACTTACCAATTCGAACTTACCACATGGGAAAGAAAAATAAGCATGTAAGAAATTTATTTACCATTCTGCAGTAATTCTTGGAACGTTGTTATTGTGAAATTTTGCATGTTGCAAAACATTGTTATTAGATTCTTATTATTCTGCATAAAAAAAAGGACAGAAAGCGTATTATCAAAAATAGACGAATTGTCACTGACTGAAAACTGGTCTAATAGCCAAAAAAAAAACATTTCACTTTAAACGTATTTATTGTAATATTAAGTTCTAAATAAAAAATAGTTTCACTTTTATATTATAAAAATATTTGATATTAACACAATTCATATGTACATAAATAATATATACACCTAAAACAGTGTATCTCCTAAATCTATCTAGATCTGTAAAGTCACAAGAATCTGATTATCCCCATCCTTTTCCATTAATTAAACCGCTAAAATCTTTGGCTTTGAAATAACTACAATTCCATTCCACGGTAGGACTGTATATGTTAAAATATGTAGATTTGCTCGTCTTCATTTTGTGGCACCGAAAAGAATAGTAAGTACAAATTAAAAAAATATAGAGATAGGTTATAAATAATTCTTAAATATAGCAATATCACGCACTTATTTGTAAAAAGTCAGTCAAATTATAATGTGTAGTGACCCCAGGGTTCTGTATTGTTTTCTGCATTATAGGTTGTTCCTGAAGAAGTTCCGAACATTGTTCTTTGCGGTAAATACTGATACGAAGGTAAATACTGGTGATGACTGTTAGCATTATAATAAGTAGACGTTGAACCGATAGACATACCAGACTGATAACTATACATTACAGAAGCATTTGGTGAAACAAATCGCTCAGCTTTAACAATAGAACTTGGTTGTAACTCATGATATCGACCCACAGAAGATGATACAGTATCTTCGTACCCTTCTACGGGCTGTGAATGGTTCATATTTTCAGTACAGAGCCTTTTATTTTTGTAATTATTGTTAGCCTCTTCCTCTACACTGTGTTTTACGTAGTTTGGTGGGTAACTATTCTGGTAGGTTTGACTTGTTTCCGAAGGCAAATACTGGTCGAGGTCACTACTATCCAAACAATCTTCTGGTATATATGTATTATCTATGTCGGATAATCTGTTAAAGTCCAAATTATGTTGAGACTCTAAACACGATCGTAGAGTCTGTGACTGAATAGCGGGACTGTGAGGTTGTGACGAACACGTTGATGGAGAAGTAGAACTGTGACTTCTTGGACTGCACGGAGAGTCCTCTTGTTTTAGGGAACGGGAGAAGGTTATATTTTGTCCGTGAGGTAGTTGCAACAGGGGATCTCCAGGACCTTTGTTTTGTTTTCGTCTGCGAGGTTGATATTTGTAATCGGGATGTTCTCGTTTGTGAATTACACGTAGTCTTTCGGCTTCTTCAATAAAAGGTTTTTTATCCATGTCACTTAGCAGTCTGAAACAAAAAAATATGTTTATGATAACGGCATGAAAATGACGAATACTTAATTTTTATGTGTACTAACTACGCCTAAGATTTTAGGTTCGCAATAAAAATATTAACCAAAAGTAAGTACACTACATTGACACCCACCCAACTTGTTTTTTACCTTTACAGATTCAGGAAGTTTAATTGCACGATTGCACCACAAGTCCGCATGCCGATATAATGCACTACTCAATGGGGGCTTATAATGCGTTAGTGATAAAATGTTATTATATTCTATAAATTTCTTTGCGAAAATTTGGACGTTTAGGGAAAAAATTAAAAGCGGATTCGCACACCACAAGTATAGGAGTATATTACTGTTTAATACATATTTAAATCATTTTAAAGTAGAATTCTTTGAGATGGTGACATCAAATTCTTGGTGGGGATGAAATGAAATTTGGGTAGCTTATTACCATCTCCATGATATTCCTCATCGGTCCGGTAGTTTCGGAGATTATCTGTATAATAAAAATCGACAGAGAAACAGAGAGACAGACAGACAAACAGACAGACAGACAGACAGACAGACAGACGACAGCGACAAATTGCCCGATGGACTCGATTCGTTACTTCCTTCCAAAAATCCAAGAAATGCTTACATAAGGTGATATCAGGAGGAAAACATAGAGGTCACTTAAGAGATGAACAGTTAGAATTTACAAATATGACAATGCTGCGATGTTGATGCGTGTCCAAAATAAGTTCAAGGAGGTGCTAAGTCGAAAAGAGGAGAGGAATTTGGGCGAACGATATACACAAATAACGTCGATAGTGCAAAACAAGAGCTTTTAAAGTCCTAGCAGAAGGAACAGTAGATGATTTGAAAAACAGAAAAAGTTTTCTTACTCGGATAAATCATTGATAAATACAAATTCTCCCACCTATGCTATCGGAACGATCAGCTCTGTACAAATTATAACCAGGAATGCCATACAATAAGCCAGACAATTGGGGTTTAACCCAACTTTCAGTGATAAATATACACGGGAGTTCAATATATATCATAACGGCGCCCGACTCATCAAATTTAGATATCAGAGAATACATGTTGGTGTATAAGATGTTATACTGTAAATGTGTGTTTATAAGCAGTTTTTTAAATGGATATTGGTATGTTATTTATATATTTTAATGTGATGTCTCGCTCACCTTTTTTAACCCGATTGTTAAGTTCAACACGCAGATTAATCGAGAAATCAAAGTTGAAAAGGTGTTTTATCATCAGAAAGCTTTAACTCTGAAAATTCAGAATTCACCAGCTGGACCATCTTTTCCAAAATTTGCTTGCTAATATATACGTGAATTCTTAAAGGATACTGTTGTAATTCTGTTATCTATCATCGATAGCACTTTTTAAAACGCCAATTCTATGAATAAAATTTACGATCTAGAGATCCACCGATAAAAAACTTAGAAGGTGCAAATTTTATTTTAACTGTAACCCGTACGTGTAAAGCTAAAAATATCGGTACCTACACGAGGATAAATTGAAAAATCTCCGGTCAGGTAGAAGACAAATTTAGCGGGATAAACATTTTACGGCGTTATATTGTTTCAAAATTTATCAATTTAACTGTGGAATAACACGAATTTCCGTCAAATAATAATTGTTTAACTGTTAACTGCTGCTAAATTTGCTTTTGATAAATCAATTGTAATTTCATGGTTTTTATAGGATTCATTAGTTTACAAAATACCAACAAATTGCCCCCTTCCCTTATTTCTGTGTGTCTGTCGATAATTATAATTTGTCTATTCATTCCCACTATCCCACCAATAATTGAAAACTTCTTTCAAAACTGTGGTAAATAAACTCGCCTGAAATTTATTTCACGCAAATTTTACAATTTGTCTTTAAACCTACCTACATAACGAATTTTTTTTAAATTTCAGCAAGACACTAAACACTAACATTTATTTAATGCCTGCAGATAGGTTAAATTTTATGTATTCATTTCTGTTAAAAGGTTGACGACATCATCTCAAACATATATTGATTAAAGCATGTTGAAATATGCACAATGGTAATCCATCATCTACAAGAATGTGGACTTGTTGAATTTATTGTGGGTCAGAGACGAGTAAAGTTTTGTCTAGACAACTTTAGATCAACCGTTTAGTTTTTCCTGTTAAGCCCGAATAAAATGATTGAATCCAAAGAAATCAAACAATAAGATTTAAAGCTCCCTTAAAATTAAATTTAGGACAAAATATTGGTTTAGACAGTGTGGACATATTAACGAAGGGTTTCTTTGTCCTAAGAGTATTTGCTATTCTTATAAATTCTTATAAACATTTAGTAAAAAAAAATTACACATGGAGGAGTCCGGGAACACGTTATTTCCAAAAATAGTAACAAGAGTCTAGTACTAAAGAGTGTTTTTTTTTTTTGAGTAAATTGTAAGCACTGTGTTTGTAATATTAATTTTTTTTATTGAGTAGTACTTTTAAAAATACTTGATTGTCCAGTTACAATGAAACACTCTGCATGCATACTTATCTCACTGCAATGAGTTCAGTGAGTAACTGTAACACGTTGTTTCATTAATCTATGACATGTTCTTGGCCCCTCGAACTACCAATAACGTTTGAACTCCACATATTGAGCTCTTTTATGTGTAATTTACCATTTTAAAAATATACCATATCTACAAAGAAAAGAAATGTGGTTGTTAATTTTAAAACGTCAGGACAAAACAGCGTGAAATCGGGGAAGTAATTTCGGGTGTAGCAGATACTGCATATTAGTCAGCTTTGTGATGCTCATACTTTTTTTAACAACAATGTAAACTTTGTTAAAGTTTATTAAATGATACAGATTAAGGGTGGAGTCGGACGATCGGCATGTGTTACGTAGTTTACGCGAGTTAAAACGTTACAAGGACAACGAAAAAGATTAGATTGTTTTGTTAATGCGAACATTTTAAATTTTCATTTTATAGTCGTAGAGTAGGTATAAACCTGTATGTGTACATGCTTGACAGGATATCCGACTTAAACAACTTATCAGACTTATCAAACTTAACAGAAATTTTTACCCTCTATTTACCTATTTACTTAGTTTTCCCTTAATCTTTGCATGAATATTGTAAAATAAACTTGAGTTATTATTTCACCTGGAAAGATAAAGTAACATTTTCTTACTCGGACTAAAACCCATTTCGTGTTACGTGACTCAGTTATGATTTTGTAAAATGTAAAGGAAAATTTTGGACAAATGTGCGTTTATGTGTAACAGTATTTTTCTGATATCCGTGTAATTGCAATGAAAAATCACTTTAATTAACTCTACCAAACAGCTACTGGACGTAAAATATACAACGAATTTTGTGAAAAACGTGACGATTTTATTAATGACTATTATTGAAAGAAATCGAACAATAATTTAATTTTTCATTACATAAAGTAATGACAACACTTTCTCAAATACATTTTTTTAATCTGCAGTTATGGCAAAAATTTTGTACACAATGCTAGGAAAAATATGCCAGGTGCCTGTTCGATTTCTTTAGACTTTAATTTTACTTTCGGTTGCAGCTTCGAAGTTACACTTAACATTTTCAGTTTGAGGTAGTACATACACAGTTATTATAATAATATTAACGAACATTTTTATCATAACGCTTGAAAATGCAATCATATATTTCTAGAACCTAGGGTATGTCCATCTGTCTGTGATCTGTCTTTTATCTGTCTCTGTAGATTTTATTAGACAGACAATCTCCGAAAACTACTGGATTTGTTGGACTATCCTTCAGTTCTGTTTACTACTAGACTACAAGAAGAAATGATGATCGTTTCTAGTTTCTTTTTACAAAGTCGCTATCTACAATCATTTCTCATACATGAATCTTCGATGACGTGTTTTCTGTAGTTCTTGGACTTCTCAGGTTGACTTCTCCAATTTGAGTTGCAAACAATAATCTTGTATTTCTGCATAAAGACTATACATTTTCCAACTAAATCTATGAGAATCTTGATGAATTGACGCTGTAATTGCTTGTCCTTCTTCAGGCCATTAATTATATTTTCAGTCATGATTATATTTCAGTTCTATTCGTATCAGAGTGCGAAAAAGTTGTTTTCTTGTTCTCTTTTAATCCTGTGGGGGTGGATGAACACATTTGTCGCTATTATATTCAAATTTTCTAAATCACTATTTATCAATTATGTATTCCTAACGAATATGTCAAACAGCAGAACACAAAACATGCTGAATGCTTTCATCAAAACTTTTTCTATTTAATTCTGGCTTCAGAACTAATTTTAATTTTCCTGGAAACTGTGTTTGAATATCTGTTTTGGTCTTGGTGTGGTGAACGTAAGGAGATTATTATAAACCCAGATGCCTGTACCCATTGTTTATGTATCTATCACTTATTATTTTTATTACATGTATTATTTTTATTACTATATTTATCTTTAACCCAATTTATGTAAGTGCATCGCAAAAAAATTTTGTACACTGAGAAATTTTTGCGTCGTCCTCGTCATGGTCTGTAATGATTCAAGCCAGTATATCTCGAGATGATCGTCTAAATTAATATCCGTGGCACATTACGCAGCATCGGCGGCGACTTTGACTGTGCCACCCGTAGAGTTTGGTTGCGCTGATTGCGCGCACACACGCCGTTTCTACGACACGCTCCACCCAGGGGTTTGTCGTACCTCTTGGAAGATTTCACAAGGATTCTGATTTCAAACTTGTCATGAAAACTTAGCAAATTCCTTTAAGCGAATTATGGGTCCTACTTTAAAAAACGACATCCTCGATTTATTATGCCAAAGAGTGGAAAACGCTAATAATAATTTTTAGTCTAGTTTTAAATTGACATGAAAAATATGCTGAAGCAAGCGGTTTTCTTAAGTTTGCTTTTTGAGTCTAATTCGGGTATTATTTATTTAAGTATACAGATTAATTTGACAACCGCGGAATGTTAAACGAAATGAATTAAGTAAGTGAT